GCCGCTCACTGCAACGTCTGCCAGTGCCATCGCTGTCACCTCCTACACCTCCCCCTTGCCAAAGGCAGAGCTGGAGAGCAGCGAAACCTGCTTGTCCCACATCCCTGGGCTGAGCAGGCTCCTGAGGAAGCACGTCCTTCCTCCTCCTCCTCCTGCCGTGGTGTGCCACTCACAGGCAGAGATGTTTCTTGGGGTATAACGTCCTCGCCAGCAGGGAAAGGCTCTGGCAGGGAGGCTGGGACAGGCAGAGCCCCTGCCCTGCACACAGCGCATATGGCAGCTCCTACGTGTGGGGAAAAGGCTGCTCTGAGCTGCTCTACGTGCAGCGTTAGCCCAGCGAGGAAATATGGCCTGCTGCTAAATGGTGTCTGAAAAAGGCATCTTGCAGATAAACCACAGCACTGTGGAGTAGAAACCACAGGCATGGGGTGAGTGCGGTGACCAGCTGGGCCTGGCCCGGGGTTCAGGCAAGAGGGGACAGGGATGGGAACACGCTCCCGTGGGAGACGGGAGGTGCCGTAGGGGTGAAGCACCCCTCTCTGCTCCAGCGCCCGCACTCTGCACCTGCCAGGGCTGGCTCTCGCCACCTGCCCGCGGGACCAGGCTGTGGTTTCCTCGCAGGTTACCTTGTCATTTTGTCCCTGGGTGCCCTCAGAGCCACCCCAGTGTGCCTTTCCCACAGCCGTGCCTGGGGCTGGGCAGTGTCCGGCAGCTCCTGCCCTGGCCCCCGCTGTGGTGTGTCTCTGTCTTTATCCCGTGCTTTGGGGAAGCCTTTGCTTCCTCGGGTCCCCCCCACGTGCTGGAAGGGGGACAAGGTTTTAAAATAAGATCCTTTTGTTTCCCAGGGCGGCAACAATGGAAAGGTCCCATCGGTCCCACAGTCGCCCTGTTTGTGATGGAAAATTCCCCGTCGTGGCAGGGCGAGCCCTCTCCAGCGTCCCACCGTTAGATGGCAGCATGGACGGGCTGGTCCTGGCCACCACCGCCTGCACGGTGCCACGTTTGGGCTGCGATGGGTGGAGGTTGCCAAAATCCCTTGATTCTGGGGGTACCAGAGGATCCCACTCCCCCCCTCCCCCAGCCCCAGGTCAGACCCTCTGCTCTTCTCACTCTCAGCTTCTCCAGGCTGCCCTTCCCTCAACTGTGCATTTTGTCCAGCATCTCTGATGTGATCCATCCCTCCATTGCTGTCCACACCTCACCACCTCACTGCTCATCTTTCTCAGGTGCACGATGACCCCTGCTGCTCACAGTGGTCCCCAGCATGGGTGCACTGCTGGGGCAGGGAGCCCCGTGGCTGCCCTGTCTCGGATCACAGCCCCTGGCACCGGGGAGGGATCTGATCCTGCAATCTCAGCTCTTCTCCCTGTGGCAGTGGTCAGTGCTTCCCCTCTGTGTAGTCCCCAGCTCTACCTCATCATCCCATTATCATGGCGAGTTTTAAAAATCTCTCTCCAGAAACCTGCAGGGGTTTGGGCACCTACCTGGGACGGACTGACACTGCCACTTTCTGCTTCTTTGGGATCAAGCAGGGAGGTAGTCCAAGGGGAGTGTGCTGAAAAGCGATGCGGTCGGTGCTCTCAGGGTTAAACACTCACTAATTGGGCTGAGGGGAGTCTGGTAAAATAAACTCTGTGGCTTGAAGCCCCTCTGAGGGCTGCGGGAGAGGGACAGGGTGATTTCTTCCACGGGCTTGGCAATGAGAGCAGTTGAGCGTGCGAGAAGTTTTCATGCCTTTTCGAAGCCATGAGCACATGGTTCTCATTCAGGCTCTTTCTTCGCTGTCTGCAAGCGCGCATAATTAATAACCCTCCAGGGTGCAGCTTGGGGCCGTGTTGATTTATCTGTTCAGCGCTCGTTGGGTGCGCAGGCAGCCGGCCAGGGCTGTGCCACCGCGCTCCCCAAAGCTCTGCCATCGCCTCCGTCTGTGCCGCGTTCGCCGTCGGTTTGCACCGAGCCAGAGGCACTGGCGGTGGCAGAGGTGTGGGGGCAGCGCCGCTGGCACGCGTGGGGCGGCACCGTTCTGCTGCCAACGGCACGGTCGTGTGCGTGGGCGCGGGCCAGAGAGGAGTGCGTGTGCCACGTGTAACGGTGCTGGGGGACAACGCGGCTGCCCCGCGCTGCTGGCAGTGGGCTCGGATGGACGGCATAAGCGGCGGCCCCTAGTGCACCCCCAAATGAGTAGGGGTACAAGCGTGTGCCCACGGGTGTGAGAAAGTGCGTGGGCATCTTTGCGTGCCCCTGGGGGGTGTGGGGAGGAGTGGGGAGGCTCAGGGGGGGTGTGCAGGACTGTGTGCCTGCGTGTGTGCATAGAGGTGTGAGGTGTGGGCTTCGGGGCGGAGCATGAAGGTGTGTGTGCAAGCAAGTGTGAGATGTGCATGTACGCGTGAGGTGTGTGCACACCGGTGTGAGAGGGTATTTGTGTGCGTTCCCTCTGGTCCAAGAGGTCGGGGGGTGCACCCAGGTGTGCACCCGTTTGCAGACAGGTATGGGGTGATGCGTGTGCACCCAGCTGCGGGTGGGGCGTCCGGGGCTGCACACAGGCATGCGGGGCGTGCGTTCGCATGCACTGGTGTGGGGGTGCTCAGGTGTACGCAGGGCAGGGATGATGCGCACCAATGCACCCAGGTGCGGGACACCCATGCACCCAGGTGTGCGGGGGGGTTGCACACCCACGCACCCAGGTGTGGGACACCCACACACCCAGGTGTGCAGGGGAATGCACACCCACGCACCCAGCTGCGCGACACCCATGCACCCAGG